AATTCTAAAAGGAACTGGCAGCGAATCCAGGATCATTTCTTCTTTGCAACATTTCATCCACTGGAGGATTATAGTCTAGAGGCAAGTCCAAGGCTATTGCTGATCATTGTATTTGCATAGTTTTACAACTAGTATTTTTAACTTTCTTTGTATGTTCTAATGTCGGATGAATAATGATCAACTATTATTCATTCAAAACTCTGAAAAATTATATCACCTAAATTGTGATGGATTTTAGACTAAGACTGCAGCTTAATTCTCTAATTAATACTGTGTTAAAAACCTAGGTCAATTAAAAAAAAGTATGTGTGATGAATGTGCCCATCGTGTGGGAGTTAATGAGGTTTTATATTTGTGGCTGGAAAAGTTAGTTCTGATAACTGAAGAGCACCTACTTAATCACATGTAGTTTGTTAGGATTTTTGAGACATCTGTTCTTAGAAGTGACTTGAGGTTGCTTAACTAAATTGTTGTTTAATGTGAATATATAACTCCTAGAGCATCTTTTTCAGCTATCCTTTTTGCCATAGCTTAAATAATAAACACTGAAGCAAGGCAGGCAAAAATAAGGGTGCAGATAAAAATAAGAAATAGAGGAGCTAAGCTGAAAATAGAAGACAAACATGAATGTGAAAAGGGGTACATGTATTCCGGCACAAAAAATGGCATCTTTCAGACAAGGATTATTTTTTTTTTTTTTTTAAAAACTGAAGTTCTGTGAAATATTTTTGTGGACACTTAAATATGCTAGATATGACAGCAAAATTCAGAAGTGAAAATCCTGAACAAGAAAGAAAAAAGAAAAAAAAAAAAGGCAAGGCTAATACGTATTTAAATGTGTTTGGGGTGCGTCTTCACCTTCATCTTCGGGGTGCATTGGGATAAACAAAATGTCTGGGTTTTAAACTTTCCATCTTAATCAGCCTTTCCCTTGGGGTGTGTGTTTGTTCCTCCTTGATAGATTGTGGTTGGCTGTATTGGTAGTGCTGAGTTGGATTTTACCACTAGATTTTAATGCTTTTGACTATATTCCTTTTGACATCAAATCAGTCCGCATTCTTTAGTACAAGTTCATAAGGGTATCTGAAAACTCCTTAGTGTTACATGTAAAACGTTTTCACAAGACCTGTGTGCTGAGAAGCATAGCAGTAATTCTTTGGTGTTCTAGAATTTCAGTAATCAATGCAGATCCTTTAAAAAGGCCTAATCAGAGAGAGAAAGAGACTAGATTTATGAAAGTTTGGGATAGCACTGTATGTAAAGTGATGAATATTGAGAGATATATTAGTAAGTTATATCAAGGGCCAAGAAAAACAAGTATTAAAATCACAGAATACTAGATAAAAGATGTGTGCAATAAAATTACCAGAGGTTAATTTATTATCTGTTTTGCTTGCTTTGGTAGTACGCTGCTTCTAACACTGTGTTACATTGCAGACAATATTTTACACTCTTCCCCGCCTTTCGGAACTTGCTGAAGATGAATGGATCTCACTTGCTAAATTTGACAGATTCACTGACGTTCCTTTGCCACCAACATTTCAGTGGTATCATTCTCGAATGGAACTTCTTGATCTGAAACCAAGTGACTGGTCTCAGCAAGACATGGGTAAAATATAGCTAATCTGTATTAAATATAATTATTTGTATGTAGTAGCTGTATACCTCTATATTCTATCTCATCTCTGTGTTATCCTGCTGAAGTAGCCTTGTATCTATGTCAGCAGAGTATGTGCCATAAAATAATAGTAGGTGACCAATGGTGTCTACAGTATTACCATTTAGATAATTTTCTTTACTGAAGTAGTATTTTCACTATGGCTTGCATAACCATATGACCAATACTTGTTTTTACAGGTTCAAATTCAGTTGAAACAGATAGCCAGACAGAATGGACTGATGTTCAGAAAAAGATTATACCCTGGAAGAACAATACTCCTAGTTTAGACCTGGAAATTGTATTTCAGGATCGGGCCGCTAAACTTGGTAAATCAAACAGTAGACTGATTGTGGTGGCTTCACTTATTGATAAACCTACCAATTTAGGAGGTAAGGTTGATTGCACATTTTTAAACTTTTATTTTAGACCTTAGAGCCCACTTCCATAATAAGAATGAATTTCATCGTATGTTGATAATTAGAAAATTATTTAAGTACTGCTCAAAGAAATAGATCATTATCCTGCAAAAAACTGGTAACTGAAGTAAATACTACTTGCTTCAGAAGAGGTCTTCTATAGTTTCATTTTAAGAAAAAAAAAAGTACTCACACATAGCATGCATTAATTAAATAGAAATTTGCTGTAAATCATACTCAGTTTCTTACCCTTTTTTTATATGCTTTCTTACAGTTGAGTTTTTCAACTGTGTATGCAGTTAAAGAAAATAACTTGCTTTTACGTTCCCTCCCCCCCCATAATAATTAAACCAAATCTTGTAGACCTACTAGTTTCTCATGACTGTTGGACAGGAAAGTGCCCATTCCTGATTAAGTACTCCTTCACAATATCGTGCAAGCTGTGATATAATAAATCCTGCAAATACTTTATTGCATTGTGGTTGCTGTTGTCAGCAGTTTAAATATCTGCAGTGAGACTGCTAATGAAAAATAAGCCCACAAGCTGGTGCTGTCTGCATTGTAATGCTATAATGTGTCATTCTCTCTAGCCTTTCATTTAACAGGTACTGGATTTAGAGCATAAGCATGTACGTGTCCATCCATCCCTGCCTAGGCTTTTACACTGACCCATTACTTTGTGTTATTAGTATTGTAGAAGCATGTTGTCAGACATAATGCTTTTCTAATTTTTATCTTTCTAAGTTTTGTGGGGTTTTTTTTTCTGGTAAATTATATGGAACAAGGTGTGTGACTTGGAACAGATGTAAGAAGCACCTGAAACTGATTAAAAATAGAGGACTAAAGTAACCATTTCTCTCTCAGATTCTTTGTCCTTTTTCACTTGCTAAAATGTTCTGGCTTGGTTTTTATTTCCTATGCAACAGTCACTTTAGTTCTTCTGTTTGTAGGTTTATGTCGTACAAGTGAAATATTTGGGGCATCTGCACTGGTTGTCGGCAGTCTTCATTATATACAGGATAAGCAGTTTCAGCATCTTAGCGTTTCTGCAGAGCAGTGGCTCCCCCTGGTTGAGGTGAATGGAAATATTTTAATAGCTAAACAGTGTACTGTACATCGTCAGTTCATCAGATGCATAGTTCAGAGTCTTACTTTTTTCCTCTTGCAAAATGAACTTTTTATTTACCAGAAGCTCCCGCTGTTAGCTCTGAGACATAATCTTGAGTATTTTGGAATAAACTTTGAGTTAACCTCATAAAAAAATAATTTAAAAAAATACTTCTTATTGCTGTGATAAACTGATTATATGAGCTGTCATTGTTACATCTTGCTCTGTGTTTTATAGTGGTGTGTTGGAATTTAGTGTTTATTTATAAAAGCTGAACAACACTTCTTATTTTGCTTGGCCCATTGATTTTGGAAACTTCATGGGGATAATCTTTGAGTGTGCCTGAAGCTAACTTGTGCCAAGGTTTTGGAACCTACTATCTAGCTTATAAAAATGAGGGTTTCAGTCTGTGTTTAGTATTTTGGTAGAAAATATGTTTGTGATATTTTTATAATCATCTGTTTTTCAAGATCAGCTGTGTTTAAGTCATCTGAAAAACTCAGTGCAAATTTTTCAGTTTTTTCACAGTTTATTTTCGACTATTAAGATTTTTCTTCAGAAAAGATAGCCATAATGTGTTTTGCCTAGAACAGAATGCTGATGGACACATGTTGTCATGCCTAATCTCTGTACAGAAGTGTACTGATGATAGAGCTTCTGTTGCATGAAAAAATTGGCATTTAATACAGATAAGCAGTTTAGAGAGTAGGATGAAGACAACTGAGAAATTCTTCACTGCAAGCTATCACAAGTTCTAATGCAGGCATGTAAGGCAACTCAGCTTCAGTATTGGCTGTTGTACTGTTCTGGGAAGGGACTCCAGGTTAAATAACAACTGTGCACCTTGTCCCTATGCAAGAATGATGCTTTTACATTCACGTGTAAGGTTTGTAGCTGTCAGAAGCACAGAAGAGCCTTTGTTCATTGTATTCATGGAGTACCTTTTTGTGGCATTACTTAACCTTTTGTGCTATTGCTGAGGAGCTTTTAAAATGGTAAGCTATGTATATGGACAGAGTCTTCGGGGATAAAAGTCATTCATCTTAAAAACTGTCCAAGTAAATTGATTTTTAGAGTAACTTCAGACGTTTACAAATGGCAGTATTTAAATATTTGTGTATTTCTCTCTACTTTTGATGGACAGGTGAAACCATCTCAGCTTGTTGATTATTTACAGCAGAAAAAAACGGAAGGCTACACTATTATTGGTGTGGAGCAGACAGCTAAAAGTTTTGATCTTACAGAATATTGCTTTCCAGAGAAGTCACTATTACTGCTGGGGTAAGAACACACCACTTCTTTGTAAATCTACCTGTTGCAGTTCATCCCTTCTACTAGTCAGAGTTTAGTCATACGAAAACCAAGTGACATTGGTAAAGGTGGATTTAGAATGCAAAGTTACTATGGAAACAGCAGAGCTTGGCTTTGTGTGCTAAGGAGTGGGAGGTACTGATCTCTACTCCTGAACGATCCTTCTCATACTTAATAACCTACACTACAACTCCCTTTTTTTTTAATGGGTGGAGGTAGCAACAGGATGGATTACAGTTTTCCAGGTGTGAGATACTGTCTGTTCACTTTAGTAATATGGGACCCTGTATATGTAGGCTATGGTGAGCTCAGCAAGAAGGAGGGCTGCCTGTTTGCCCTGCTTAACTTCGTGAGGAGGACTGGAGCGGAGTGGGAGCATGCATAGCTAGGAGATGCTTTAAAATTAAGGATGAGGCACAGGACGAAGTAGTAAGTTTTTGCAGTACAAGCAGAGGCTGGGGTGACTTCAGAGGAAAGCAATAACCGGTTCCTATAATCAGGCAAGCCTCAGATGTGACAAAGGGGAGGCTACTTCAAGAAATGCAGAGGAAAGTGCCTGCAAGTCAGAAAGCTACTGGAATTGCAGGACCACTGAGTGACACCAGGAGGAAGGGCCTATCTCTCTATCCTTTTAGGACAAAGTGGGCAGAAGTACCTGTTAACTAGTTTAATTACTGATAAACTTTGGTGTCCTCTGGTGTGCTCATTCTGAAGAGGTGAAACATTTCCAGTTCAAGGCTTCCATCAGTCTTGACCTTGCCTTATACCAAGACCTCATTGAATGTAAAGTGGGACCTCATTGAATGTAAAGTGGGCAGTTGAGCTTCCCTGCTGTGCCAGGGGCTTCATGCCCTGGTCACTTCATCTATAGCTGTTTATTTTCATATATATAAGGATAGTTTCAAAATAAAGGCAGTGAGGGAGTCCTTATGTTGGGTGTTCAGCTATTGCTGGACCAGTGAATTAAAGACAAAGTGCTCTACCAGTTTTCCTACACCAAAGCTTAGTCAGGTCTCCCATGTTTTCTTTGTATATGTAATGTATTACTGCTTTAAAAAAAAAAAAAAATCATGGGCAGAGGCACCATTTGTCAAATGGTGTTTTGATGTTGTTGTGACTTTCGCATCTTCTGCTTTCTGGAACACCCGTCTTTTCCCAGATGAAAGTTACTCTTTCTTCTTTACTAGAAATGAACATGAAGGAATCCCAGCAAATCTGATTCACCACCTGGATGTCTGTGTGGAAATTCCTCAGCAGGGTATTATTCGATCACTCAATGTTCATGTAAGTGGAGCTCTGCTGATTTGGGAGTACACAAGGCAACAAGTGATCAAGCAAAAGCAACAAAAATAACTGCCAGGAGTTTTGTGCCTTATAGTACAGCTGGGTGACTTACTGTGGTGCTACAATGTAAAATTCTGAATAGATGAGATACAAACTCAGGGTGAATAAGGATTCTTAAGTTTGGCATGTTTTGTTCTCTGTAGTTCAGACTGATTTTTTTAAATGCCTTAATACTTTACCCCCTTAAATAAAACTGTTGCATTGGAAATAAATACTATTTATATTGCATGTGGTGTGTGTGATTTTCTACTATTAGAACATCAGCATAGTACCATGAACAATCCCAGACTAAAACACAGGATTTTTATTGCAGTTACTCTGTGATGAGCATAGGCTTGAATTTGAAGTGGTGCCTTCCTGTAACCACAATCAAAACTTACTGTAGCCGAAGTATTTAATGCCTCCAGCATCTAGATTACTAGGTTATATAATTTTTGCAAGGTAAATTCACTTACATTATTAAAAATTGCCTGTGCTGCCCTTTGTTTAACTGCCTTCCATGGTCAAGTTTACTAATCCTGCTGTAAACAGTCTGTATCTTTAATGGAGTTGTATCAGTAAGGTAATCAAAACATTACACAAAAGGCCATAATGTGAGAATTGTAATAAATAACTGCCATACTTCTAACAGATACCGACTGAAAACTGTTCGCTAATGTAAAAATTCCTATTGCTTATAAAAAAATCAGTATACTCAAAATATGTAAATTGCACATCACGCAGTTAGGATGCATTAGGTCTTCTAATGCCTTCTGTTTTAGAAACTGATGTCTGACTTAAACTGTATTTTAAATACTTAGAAATACTTGATAAATGACAAATACAAATTACATTCTACCACGACCTCCTTATGACAAGGAGGGAAAGCTGGAATGGCTTTTTTTTTTTGTAAGGAAAAACTGGTTCACTTACTGAAAAACAATTTTATTGTTTTCTTCAGAATATGTACATTACACTTAAATAGTCATTTGTTCCTGTGAAACAATTTGACTAATTATATATTCAAAACCTTAGATTCATGAACAGCCCTGCACCGTATGTCTTTGACTTACAGTCAAGAAAGGGAGCCTGCATTTCAGGGAGGGAGACAGGTTACCAGTTCTTGAGCTCAAGCAGCTTCTGTTGGTTTCTCATGCTTCTTCCTTCCATAGTTTATTGTGAAAGCAGAGTACCTAAGACTTTCCAGCAGCTTCTGGAGGATGATACCCTTCTGTTTCAAGCTTTCTTTTATATTTTAAGAAGTCTCTTCTTTTATCAAAGTGTTTAACCTGTTTAAAAAGAGAAAATGTTCATCAGAAAAAAAACAGCAGAGGAAGGGGCTTTGTGCATCACAAGACTGAGGAATAAAGAGTCTTTAATCCCTGAATTTAGGATTTTAACTGAATACAGTAGTTAGGAGATTCTGACTCTGTTCAAGACTATAGGTGGGTTGTGGTGCATTTGTTTTTTGTGGGTGTGTTTATCATTTTGAAAGTGAACTCCAGTTTTCTGTCATCACCACTCCTGTTACTTCCATGGACATCTAATAAAAGTAGTCTATCACTTTGCTATTTTCACTGCTACGAACAGAGATTATTTGCAATACAAAGATAAATCCAGCAGCTTTTCTCTGCTGTCAACAGACTGCGTGACCTCTGAATTCATTGCCTAGAGCCACTAATGTGCACAGTGCAAAGCACTGGCAGATGAAACCACCATAGCTAGAGGTGACACATGGCAGAACTGCAGCGTTCAAAGTGTAAGTCAGTACAGCAGCGGTCTCTGTACCTGTTTTTTTTTAACTGACTTCAGTCTACTAGCTCCAACAGGAACTGTTCAGCCCCTCAGATGTTACTGTTACTAAAAGGCAATGCCTATTAAAGTTAAGAATTGTAGCTTGAACTAAGAAGCTGAGTTACATGTAAGCAGATGGTTTACTGTGAAATTATACTGCATGAAGAAGGGTATTTTTATGCACAAGAAGGTATCAGATGCCAGTCTTAAGATGCCATGCAACTGCAAGCCCTGCATGTCACCTCTCTTCTGTATTAGTCTTTCTTCTTTAGTAACAGTAATTTCTGTGCGCTCTAAAAGCTTCTGAGTATCTTTCAGATTTTTTTTTTTTATTATCTTAAACAAGAAGCCTGCAGGCTCATATAGTTGCACATTTGTCTAAAAGTTTGAGATTGTATTTTCTTTTTCCTTTATACTGCTGTCTATAGTTCCCGGGCCAGTCAGGTATCCGCTCAGGAGTTTTGATCTCCCAGCAAGGCGGAAAGCACGCCAACGCAAGTTACACTGGCCGAGGGTGCAAGGTTATCTATGAGAAAGCATAAGACGGCGCACGTTCTGCAATCAAAGAAGCTGGAGCTGCCATCGTTACCAAGGTAAACCTAATTACTCGTCGATGCTGTTACTAACGTGCAAAGAAAAGCTCTGTTCGTTCAGGGCAAGCTTTGGGAGGCCGAGCGCAGGAGGACGCGGAGGGAGCGGCGGCTGCTCACCCACTGCTGCGGGCACCGGGACTCGAAGGAGAGCCGCAGCTTCTCGCACTTGGAGGCATCGTCCGCGTGCCTGTCCAAGCACTGCCAGAACTCGTCCCGGGCCCCCC